GTCACTTTTTCATATACGTCCAAATATTTGTCTCAAGTTTATCATCTCTTTTCCACTTTGTCTATGGTCTTTTACCATTGCTCAATTAAATTTATGAAACGTTTCCCATTATAGGTTCTGGCTTAGAAAGATTTCCCCTACGACAAGATCATAAAGATGCTTTCCTATAGTGTCCTGTGGTTTTATGTTTCATATTTAAATACTGAAACCTCAAATTAGGGAAAGGATATGAGGCAGGGAGGAAATTAATGTTTTCCCAAATTAATTTTCATTAACACTAACACCATTTATTGCCTAATTTCTTATTCGTCCCACTGATTTGACATTCTTTGGCATATTGTAAATTTCCATAAATATTTTACATTAGCGCCTGCTCTATATTCGTAGTTCTAGGACATTTCCTATCCCATTGCTATGTTTCTACCTTACTTTCATTTTAAAAACTTCTTTCACTCCTCTTGAGAATTTCTACTTACAGAGGAATTTTTTAATAAATTAGAATAAATGTAGGGAGTAATTTGGGAGAAAATGGACATTTCTACAATATTGGATCTTCCCATCCGAGAATACGATGTGGCTCTTTTTAATCAGGCTTTATCTGTCTTTTTATAATGTTTTACTGAAGTATTCCATATTCCTTATTAAATTAAGTACTTTTGAGTTTTTATTGCTACTGTGAATAGATTATTCTGCTATGTACAGAAAATCAGCTGCCTTTTTGCCTAAACTTTTTAGCTCCATGTTTATAACGTATTTATCAAAGTATTACTTGTGTTTGATTTTTTTTTAAATTGAGGGCTTCTAGAAAAGCAGGTGTCCTCCTGCCCAGTCTCAACTCTCCATGACAATAGTTAATATTTCTTGTAATTTTCCAACTGATTCTCCTGAAATATTCTAGGTATATAATCAATCTGTCTGTAAATGTTAATAATTTGGTCATTCTTCTTCTATAATTTATTTCTTTTCCTAGTTTATTGCCTTGTTTTTCCAGAAGACGTCTGAACAGTATTTCAGTAGGTCTCTTGGCTTATTTCCGGCCTTAATGGAAAATCATCAGTGCTTCACCATTAACTGTGATGATCACTGATAGCTGTTAATAGTTGTCATCAAGTTAACATTTCTATTCCTAATAAAAGTTTTTTCTTCTCTTTGTTTTTGAGACAGTCTCACTGTGTTGTCGAGGCTGGAGTGAGGTGGCACGATCTCGGCTCTCTGCAACCTCTGCCTCCCGGGTTCAAGCCATTATTCTGCCTCAGCCTCCCAAGGTGCTGGGACTACAGGCACATGCCACCATACGTGGCTAATTTTTGTATTTTTAGTAGAGATGGGGTTTCTCCACATTGGTCAGGGCTGGTCTCGAACTCCTAGCCTCAAGTGATCCACCCGCCTTGGCCTCCCAAAGTGCTGGGACTACACTGCGCCCACCCCTTTATTCTCCTTTTAATCAGTAATAGATTTGGGATTTTATCGGTATCTTATTTGGACATTTTTGGTTTTTTTTTTTTGGAGACAGGGTCTCACTCTCTCACCCAGGCCTAAAGTACAGCAGCAGTGAAGGCCCAATGCAGCCTCCAACTCCTGGGCTCAAGTGATCCTCCTTGCGTAAGCCTCTCAAGAAGCTGGGATTATAGGCATATACCACCATGCCCAATTAATTTTTCTTATTATTATATTATTTATTTATATATTTAGAGACGGAGTCTCGCTCTGTCACCAGGCTGGAGTGCGGTGGCACAATCTCGGCTCACTGCAAGCTCTGACTCCCTGGTTCAAGCTATTCTGCTGCGTCAGCCTCCTGAAGGAGTAGCTGGGATTACAGGCACTTGCCACCACGCCCAGCTAATTTTTGTACTTTTAGTAGAGACAGGGTTTCACCATGTTGGCCAGGATGGTCTCGATCTCCTGACCTCGTGATCTGCCTGCCTCGGCCTCCCAAAGTGCGGGGATTACAGGCGTGAGCCACCATGCCTGGCCTTCTTATTTTTGTTTTGTACAGACAGGGTCTCACTATGTTGCCCAGGCTGGTCTCAAACTCCTGGGGTCAAGCAATGCTCCCATCTTAGCCTTCCAAAGTGCTGAGATTACAGGCATAAGCTACTATGCCCAGGCATTTGGCCTATTAGAGCATTTTCGTTTGTTTTCACCTAATTATATTTCTAGTATTAAATCAGTCCTATTTGATCTCTGTATATTATTGTTTTAGTACACTACTGAGTTGTATTTGCTAATACTTTAATTAGGATTTTTCGATCTATAATATAAGTGAGATCAAGCTATATTTTCTTTTTCATGGTATCTTTGTCAGGTTTCAGAACTGGGGTTATTTAATGCCTTTTGCAATATGCATATTTTTAGTTAACTTCAAGTTATTTAAGTTATTTAAGATGGGTCTTTCTCACCATCACTTTTCCTTTTTAAAAGAAAACTAAGCTTAACAATTACAAATCCAAAAAGTACACAAGTAGTTCTTGTCAAGTGGCCTCAAAACATGTAGAAGACTTACTAGGTAATCACAAGTCCTTATTTCCAGTAAATAAAGAAAGGTCTATAAGTCAAGTGAAGTCCATGACATTCTGGATGTCCAAGAGAAGTGCCCTTAATCGATAAGGGTGGTGAACAAAAACACAACGAGGAGGTACCAGACCCTGTCATGGACTTTTTAAAGCCAACAGTAAGCTCTTAAATAAAAATCAAGCCTGAGGATTCAAACAAAAGCCAGCTGAGAATACAGGAAACGCTTTTCCGGCCAAACCCTAAACTACTTAGGATGGTCTGGGCCCCCTGAAGCTAACACCAATCACATCAGAGTTCAAGGATTCTGTGCCAAGGACAATACTCCCTGGGATGCAAGGCGGATGCCACTTGCCACTTTTCTTGTTTGGAGAATAATCGGCCATCTATAAGCTGTGTCATGCACTCTCCTCCTGGATGGGCTCAGGAAGTGAGACTCTGCTTGGTATTCAAGTATTCTGGGATAAGTCATAACTGAAATGTTATGAAAGTCAGTAAGAACCACATATAGAACCAACTCAGAATGAGGGAAACAACACAGAAGGAAGGAAGGAAAGAAGCCTGAACAAACTAGTGTCTTTGAGTCTTCTAGCCAAAGATCATCTGGATTTACTAAGTTTTGTTAAATATCAGAAAGTACTGTTCAGGCTGGGTGCGGTGGCTCATGCCTGTAATCCCAGCACTTTAGGAAGCCAAGGTGGGCGAATCACTTGAGGTTAGGAGTTGAAGACCAGCCTAGCCAACATGGCAAAACCTCGTCTCTACTAAAAATACAAAAACTAGCCAGGCGTGGTGGCACACACCTGTAGTCCCAGCTACTCAGGAGGCTGAGCCAGGAGAATCGTTTGAATGTGGGAGGTGGAGGTTGCAGTGAGCCAAGATCGCACCACTGCACTCCAGCCTGGGCGACACAGCAAGACTCAGTCTCAAAAGAAAACCCACAAACAAACAAAAAGTATTGTTCAGATATATATCCATGTATATATAGTGAGGAACAGTTTTTAAACTAATGTGATTAGTACTGTTCTTACTGAAGAGTTTATAAAATGATATAGTTTGAGGCTAATTCCTTTAATTCTCACTGACTTCCACTGTAAATAACCAGGTATTTATGATTAAGTTAGCTTGTATTCACATGCCCTAGATATAAAGAGAAAATGTGTGACATTTGACAATATCAAGCATACTGTGAATTTTCTTAATCTCAAATAGGTCAAAAACAGTTTTGGAGCCACATACTATAGCCATATATTTTGCAGAGAAGTGGAGTGGGGCTTTTTCTTCTGTATTCCTGTTAAGGAGACAATCAACACTGGTCGTGTAGGTAAGGAACAAACTAAGAGCATCCACAAAATGTTTCATATACAGAGTTGCTCCGGTTCCTTACTGGAGTGTAGTCTAGTCATCCCACGTATCATCTGATGGATTTCTAGAAACTACCTGAGCAACAGTGCTACAAGTGTCTGAGACCTCTGCTGCTTCTAACAAGCCAAATGCCTCACATTACACAGAATGCCAGTAATGCAGAGAAGCCTAGCCCTTCTCCAACAGAAAGTTTTATTTCCACTAGGATAATCTGATTCTAGAGTAGTGCTGTCTAACGCAGGAGCCCCCTACTAGCCCCTGTGGTTTCTGAGCACATGTGGTTCAAGTGTGATTAAGCAACAGAATTTTAAATTTTAATTAATTTAATAGCTACATGACTCATGGTTATCATATTGGACAGTGCAGTTTTGCAATAAAAAAACCATCATGACAATACTCCCTAAAATAGAGAAAAGAGAATTACTTTTAGTGAACATACAAGTCAGAGTAGAAACTGTTAGCTTCAGTGTAGAGTTTCTGATAAAATACAGACTCGGCCCTCTTTTGTCTATCCTAGCTTCTTCTTTATATAACTAGCAAGAACAATTAGCCATTTTAATTGTGACCTGTGTGTACACTTATGGTCTACGATAAAATTTTAAGTAAGGTCTTCTGCCTTGATTACAGTAGCTAGTACTCATCAAGGACTTATGTTCAAATCTTCCTAAATAAATGTGAATTTTAACAGTCTTAAAAGCAGGGCCTCAGGCTTAAGCAGCAGTTATATCATCCAGAGATTTCTCAAACTATTTGACAACAATACATAATACCATAATTTATAAGACTCTGCTGAGTATTTTCTTCCTATAGATGCTAGTGGGATAACCACAGAATAACTTCTGTTTCATTTGGTCAGAAAAACTTCTGCTACAGACCTTCTATTTTAAAGTCAGTATTAAAAAGAAGAAAAAAATGAGAAATATTTTATGCTTCACACAATATCTTATGGCAGACATTCTTATTCAGTAACATTTTGGAGGGCAGGAAAAGACATTCAAGTTTGACTTTTAAGTTACAACACAGATTTATTAAGGATATTAACCACATAGCACATATAGATGAAGCTTATCAATCTATTCCATTATTTAAAGAAAAAATATTTTAGAACATTCAAGTATCTGTACCTCGTAATGAACAAACTGGTCCATTTTCTTGATTCTTAGAGCGCTTACTTCTGAACTGACTTGGAATATCTAATGAAAGGTCTTAAAAGGAGAGATAAGTAAATAGAGAGCTGTTAAAGGCATATATGTCTACTCAAAAATAATTTCACAAACTGATGTATTTCTAGATTTCTCTTTACACTTATTTTTTGAAGGAAACATTAAAATTATTTTAATAAAATATTATATATCCACATGCCACATAATATCTTACCTAGGAATGGATCAAACTTTCTAGATTCTGTCCCACATATGAGGCAGTTAACCTCATTTTGGAGAATGCCTCCGAATATAGCCGTGACAACAGTAGATGCTCCATTTCTAAACAAAATCACCATACAGGAAAATCTCTCAGTAAGAAGCCATCTCTTTGACACTTAAAAAACTACAAATATTTGTTAAAGCCCTACAGATGACTCCCTTTGAGGGAATATTTAAATCATTTATTTCTAAGTTAAAAAATAATATAAAAATTTCAAAACCATAGACACATACTAAATAAAAGGTTTAAGCCACTGACCTCCCCCAATGCCTTCATCCAATCCCACTACTTTCCCCAAGAGTAACTAACACTGGCCATTTGCTATCATAACAGATCACACGCATGACTCTGCACAGGGCGACATGACTCCTTCCATTCCCTCCCCAGGTTAGGCCTCAAAAGGAAGAAACTGCCTTGTATTGGAATCTTTGCAAGGCCTTTCATATTTAACAGGGAACTCTCACAATTACTTGACTTTGAACATCCTTGATCTGAGATAGTTTTAGAGTTTTTATACAGCCATCTGTCAGATTTGGGGAAAAGGAAGTAAAGGAATTTAATACAGATTTAGTAATTACTGCTGTAAGCAGGACTTCACAATTGAAAGTGCTGGATATTACTGTCAAAAACACTTTTTAAAAAGCTCAATACTGCAAATAATTTCCTTGTACAAGAAGATGAAGAATATACTGTTTTAAGAACAATTTTCAAAACCATCTGCCCTAATGTTACTTAACCTTTTCATGCCTCTGCTCCATCAAATATAAAACAGGAATACAGAAGAGCACCCACCACAGAGGCCCAGTGTGGAGACGAGAGAGTTGTATATGTGAAGTGCTTTTAGAAGAGTACTTACCAAAAATAAAGCACTTAAAGTGTTTGCCACTATTTTATTCGTATGAAGTCAGATTACACCTGCTTCTTGCTTTTATGTTTTTCCCTGAGTGTGTATGTTAAACAGGTACCTCATTCTTCCTGACAGCTACATGGTGTGTCGGAGTATGGACATACCACGGAAGCAAGAACCACCGAGGAAGTGTACCAGTGAGAGCTGGAGTTGCAGGTACTTATTATAGCACTTACTACATGCAGGCTCCATTCCAAGCACGTTCTTTCCATCTATTCAATCAATTAATCTTCACAACACATCAGAAAGGTAGCTACTGTTAGCCCCATGTTGTAGATGAGGACGCTGAGGTTAAGTTGGCCCAAGGTCATACAGCTGGCCTGGCCTGAATATCTGCTCTAACACGGCTCTTTCTCTTAATTTAACCAATATAGTATTAGTGGGTATTGAGGTAGTTTCAATTGTTTGCTATCATTAATAGTACTACATGTCTATTAGCCTTCGTGCACTTATGGAGTTACTTGAGCCAATACACACTCTTTTTTGCTAACAGCAATATAATGTGGTTTCTGTCACTTGAATCAATTACTCCTAAAACACTGAACTGTATTTTCTAGGCCACTTTAAGTTAAACCTACTGCAATGATGACAAAACCTACTCAAACAATTCTATTTGAAAAGTCTGATTCCTTTTCTAGGAAAAGGCTTCATTCTTTTACTGGCAAAATAAATAGGCTGTAACTTTATTATTACTTTTTAAAGTATTGTTTGTAAGACATACTGTCTTAATAAGTTTTTTTTTTTTTTTTTTTTTTTAAGATGGCATTGGGGAAGAAACATTGGGAGCTGTAGGATCTAGTGGCCATTTCAGGTTTAGGTTTAATATCTGTGTCACTAAAAAAGTACATAGCAAAAAAAAAAAAAAAAATCCTGCTGAAAATGAAGGGACTCTAACCGACCCTTTCATGCTGATGTTCACTTACAAGGTTGCCTTTAATTAAAATAGAAACTGCTTCATTAAGAATTACATTTAGACTCAATGTAGTTCTTCCTTATAATCGCTTCCTCTGAGAAATGGATACTAATCAAAGTTTTTAGCTGCCTGACCTGTTTGACATTAAGTTTCATACATACCATGACTTAATATTCAAAATCAGTTTCATTTAGTATAACCACAAATGTTTAAATATTGAATACTTGGATAGGCTCTTATAATTCTAGGGTCCTTTAACTGGCACGAATGATTTTCTATGTACCATAAAAATCACATCTGCCACTTACTTCTTCCATGCCACCATTCTCACCTTCACCTTCAGTAGGGGTAGGTGTGTGTGTGCACAAGTCAACAAAGACATTACACAAGAGAACCTTTTTCTAGTTGTAGCAAATATTCTTAGATCCTGAAATGGCTTCTCCAATGCACTGAACGAAATCTGAATTTTTAATATTTGATAATGTTTGGTTTCTGTCCGTAACTCAGTAATGAAACTTGCAATTCCTAATCTTTAAAATGTCATGAAAAGGGATAGATTAATACTGAAAACTCATGAGGCACTAAAAGAACATTCTATGAGTATTACACAGTGTGATTCCACAGGGTGCCCTGGGCATCATGTAAAATCATAAAGACATATACCCTCTCTCACCTCACACAGCCTATCCATGATACAGCCCAGTTCAATATCCTTTGTGGATGAATATGCCATGATAAAATACAAAACAATTTTTCATTTAATACTTTTTAATTTGGTGCTAGCAGGAAGAACAATTCTCCCAGGTCACAGGTCCTTCCCTTTGTATCTTGTATTCTAACTGGAATCACAGCTACGAGGACCTAGAGGGACATCATTTTGAGAAGTATGGCAATTCACATTGGTTGCCCTTTTCTAACACTGCTTGGTTAGCTATAAGCCTGCTTTGCCATTAAAAAGAAGTAGTCCTACTACATCCGATTTATGGACTGCCAGGCAATACTACAATGACACCTACATGTTACTTACTCTTTTCTTTCTTTTTGGGGGGAGTTTGTCTTCTTGTAAATCTCTCCCATGTAGCTCAATAGTGGTGAAACTTTTCAAAACATTTGAACAAAGGAGGCTACAACTGACCAAAATCCAGGCTAAAATAACAGTAAATCTTCCCTTCTTCAAGCAAAATAAGTGTTCTGATCTCAGTGTATATTTGTGGGCTACTAGTACATGGGAAAGCAATCCAAAAAACTTTGTTTTATTCATATTGAGAAGCAAGAAAAACTTCTGAGAACTTACAAATGCCTCGACTTCATTAAAGAACAGATAAACTTTAGGAAAGTTCAAGTCCATAATGAAGCTTTAGGAAAGTTCACATTCGAAATGTTTTAAGCTTTTGTTTTTAGTGAACAAATATTATTTTTGTATATGAAAATTAAGTCTCCTGCCCATCATTCAATATATTTGGAGGAAATCTTTTAAATGCTAAACTGTACAAATATTGTACAAATATTTTCTATTTTTTCAAGATTTAAAATAATCTATACCAAGTAATCACAGTCAGAACTAAATCAGGATGCAAATACAAGATGCCTCTGGTCTGGAAGCAAGAGGCAGGTGCTAGTTCACTGGGTCAGAAAGTTCAAGAGCACGAAAAGTTCCAGCAAATGTCTAGGAAACCCCTCCACCTTCTGTTATAAATCCAACACACAGTTAACACCAACAGAAATGTCTGAGGCCCTCCTAAAAAACAGAAGGAAACGAAATCTTACATGCAACACTTGTTACTTGCAGACAGAGTAGAATTCTCCTGCAGAATTGCTGAGCGGGAAACACCATTGAAACCGCCCTGGAGTTCCAAGTGTAGGTGGTCCAAAAGGTAGCGCATGAATTCATGGGCGTCTTGCTGTTGATAGCCCCTAAAGCAAACAGAAAGGGTCACTTATAAGGCTGGGGGGAAGGGCCCTGTGTGCCCAGCCACACCAGCAAGAGGCCAAGGCGTGGGAAAGGACGGCAGCCCCATGCTCACAAGCACAGCGAGGTTTCCTCACCTTCACGCCCGCAAGCTCTACAGGTAACAGAATTTCTCTTCAAGAATGAATTCTGCTTAAAGATAGGTTTGAAAACCAAAAAATATTAGAGCTAATTGGACTTGCAATGATCTCCTCACTTCAGAGGTGAGGAAATTATGGAGGTGGGGGGGGCGGTATGTGACTTCCCCGAAGTCCTACAGCAAGAGAGTAACAGAGATGGGACTACACCTGTGTTTCCTGGTGGACTCTGACTCTTCTCCCTGCCCACATAACCTCTCTAGAAGATGCTCCAATGTCACAGCTTCACCTCTTACCCTCACTAGAAAATCAGGTGTGAACCACTACTATAAGAAAGGAGAATTTAAAATTATTAATGACTCCTTAGATTGAAAGATACTAATTTTTAAACACTGGCTGAAAGGAAGAAAAACTTCACTGAAAGAGTTAAAGATGTCTAACCTTCTCTACCTGCATCCTAACTTCTGACTTAAGACATCTTTTAAATAAATAAATACTTTTAAAAAATGCATTGGCTCACATACAGTTATGCTCTATCCTAAAACTTGAATTTATATAACAACATATTCTTAGGTTACTTCTTACAGTATAGTCAGACAGGAAACTATATGAAATTCTTATACGAATACAGATCAATGACAGAACAGGAATGAAGGCAGACAAAATGAAACTGGTACAGGTGGAAGGTCTTGGAAGTTACTTGGATAAAATAAAGCAAGCATTGTTACATAAAGTACTTTTATAAAACTAAAATAAAAAAGACTTCTGTCTACATTTTGCCAGCATGGAAGGTTCTCTTTAATCTAAATCATTAAGTTTTTCTGGTCTGGTCTTAAGATTCAAAACTCCCACTACTCTTCCAGGCAGTGGTTCCACAAACAAAATTTCTCCCAACCAGAGTTTCTGTCAATATATATTTTCCCCCTTTCCTGGAAATTCTAAATTATGAAAACAATCTCCCTAATAAATGGAACTGTGGAACTTAAAGTCAGAAGTTACTCTCGCATTTCACTATAGCTTTTTCTAAACTATCTGGCAACTAAATTTCAATATATATGTTCAAGTACTTCTTCTAAGGCTCATCAATAAAAATGTTACTTTGCACCTGCTTGAGTATGAAAAGCAGACGTTCCAAATAAAGAAAGTAACATCTCAGAATATAGACACATAAAAGGACTCATGTGATCCCACCACATACTTAACTGTGACGTGCCTGCACATTACTGACTACTCTGTGTCTTGGCAGTGCCAGTATATAATCTGTATATATTGTATGTAGAAACAGACATACATATGTATCATCTAAAATACCTAAGATACATTAGAATTTTAGGTTCTGCTCATATTTAAAATATCCTTGACATTAAAAAAAGAATTCTAAAGTTGTTGTTTTGGCCAAAATATCTGCAAATAAGTTAAATGTATTCCTACTCAGTATTTGGCAGCAATCATGACTGAATTTCCTCAAAACAAAAACACCAGAAAACAAAATGACAAAAATGAACACAAATGAACTTGTGTTTACAAACACACACACTAATACAATAGCAAAATTCTTGGCTACAAGAATGAAAATGGTTTAGATATAAAATATCAACAGCATAGTATTTTAAAATATTTTTACAAATATCCCAAAAAGACTATTGTCAAATAAAACTTTAAAGTATCACACGTGGCCAGGCATGGTGGGTCACGACAGTAATCCCAGCACTTTGGGAGGCCAAGGTAGGTGGATCACGAGGTCGGGAGTTCGAGACCAGCCTGGCTGACATAGTGAAACCCCATCTCTATTAAAAATACAAAAAAATTAGCTAGGCATGGTGGCACGTGCCTGTAATCCCAGCTACTTGGGAGGCTGAGGCAGGAGAATCACTTGAACCCAGGAGGCAGAGGTTGCAGTGAGCCCACATCATGCCACTGACTCCAGTCTGGGCTACAAAGAGGGACTCAAAACAAACATGCATCACATGCAAAGATCTATGTTTTGTCTACAAAAATCCTTTACATTGTCTATAAACCTGAGAAGAGCAAGCAAACATAAGAATTATGTTTCAATGCTTATGCATCATTTTAAAACAGTAATTATAACAATAACTGATTAAAAAAATAAAGTTCCATCTTGGGAAGTCAAGGCAAATATATTAAATCAGACTGTACAGAAAGACCTGATTTGAATCATCAAGAGAGTTTCCTGAAGCGTGTTAGCTTTAACCAGGACCCTAGACAAAGAGATAGGGACCACAAGCAAATGCTGTGGGCAGAAGCACGTGACAGAGAGAGACAGCAAAGCAGCAAGACAGGGCTGTGTTAAGAAAAGCAAGGAGTGACAAAGTCAAGCAAAAAAGACTATCAAAATTACAGAAGCACATTTCCTTGAGCCTAGCACTTTCTCTCTTAGATACCTGCACGTGTATGTAAAAGACTACTCACTGTAGCACTGTTTAGAACAGCAAAGACTAGAAACAGTCCATAGAGCCACTGGGAGGGACTTGGACACAAATGATGATAGAACTAGAAAATGGTCTGAGGAAGCTGTTTGTATACTAGTATGAATCATCTCAAAGGAGGGAAAAACATGATACATCACCAATTACGTTAAAAATTCCATAAACACACACACACACACACACACACACACACACTTGCTTGGATATGTACACACAATATCTGAAAGGATACAGAAAACTCTAGTAACTATGGTTGCTTCCAGAAAACAGAATGAATGGCTAGAGAACAGAATAAAACATTCACTGCATATTCTTTTGTTACCTTTTGAATTCTGAACCACATGTTTTTGCCTATTTAAAAAAATACACTTTAAAGTATTTTTATGAAAAGCAAAACGATAGAAAGAGCTGAATATACTGAGAAATCAAAAGAAGTGTGGTAAGTACACATGTATGTTGGAAAAGGTCAAAACTTTAAGAAAATTTTCCCTGCTAGGTAACTGGCTTTTAGTTTCAGTGGGGGAAAAAAGAATAGGCTTAATGATTTCTCTTTCCAAAGCTGCTGATTACATTGAGGGTGTGTGTTTTGGGGGTGTGTGTATGTATATATATTTGTGTATTTAATAGATGAAAGTTGTTTCTACTTCTACATGCATGTTTGTATTTCAGAGTCCTCATATTTCATCCCAAAGGATCAAGTTCGCTAGACACTGTCATGTGTTAACCAAGGAAAATGGGCTTTTTAAACCTAAAAAACATTCCTTTGGGATTATAAATAAACATAAATCAAGAATCATGCACTTATACACAGGCATGCTATAAGAATCTGACCTGCATACCTCGTAGAGTAAGAGCTGTAAAAAGCAAGCCCCACCTCCCTGCCTCACACCTGGGCATTGTGCAGTGACCCTGCACTAAAGCTTTATCCATGTTATAATCTCAAGATCCAGATCTGACCAAGAGAAAAATTGTTCTTTGATTATATAAAAATGGGGAACAATCTCAATTATTGCAGAACTAAGAGCAAGCCCAGCTAAGAGTACAAAAGCACCCTATTCTCATCAGCCATTAAAGAAATTTAAGAGTTCATGATATCTGATATCTTCCCCAGACACTCCACATGCTAAATTCCTCAGCCTGGTTCCTTATTCCTTCATCAGTAGGAATATTCCAATATGAAAATTAAACAGCTAAAAACTAAATCATGCTCACAGTTGGGCTACAGAAGCTAGAAAGGACAGAGATGTGGAAAGATGTACAGGAAAAGCAGATTTTTACTGTATAAAATATGATAATGTTTCTAAGCTTTCAAGAATGAAGGACCTTGGTCACCATGGGGATCAAGAAAACAGTATCAAATTTGTTAATGGGCCTTGTTCAAGGTATGTGGGCAAATCATTGTCAATACGTCTATTATTTGCCAACTCCACAAACACCTGGACTCTAATTTTGGTCATTACCCTACTAGACGCATAAGCTTAAACAAGTTGCTTCTCCTTTCTGTCTCAGTTTTGTCTCCTCTAAAATGGGGGCAATATTTCCTACCTTGACTGGAATTGTGTTCTTGCTTGTTTTTTAATGAAGACCAGATATAAAATACCAGTGGGTGGCACACAGCAGGAATTCAATAAATGGAAACTATTATTATGTAATAATAAAACACAAAGACTAAACCTCTATCAAGAGTCTACCAGGTGATTATGTTCGAATTTTTTTTTATTAGGTCCAGACCTGACTAGTGGTAACTTAACTGTCATTCCTACCTTTCATACTTAGAGTCAAGACATTCTCAAATTCTTATGTCTTTCCTGAGAGGAGATCTAAATGGTATGATACATAAAAGGAGTTTCTTTCAAAACAAAGACTACGGTTAACTCTAGTTACTCACGTCAGACCCTTAAGGCTAGACTCTTTAGCAAGGCAACAATTTAAAGTCCTTTGAAGTTAATTACCTTTTAAATATATCTCTATATTAACAATACATCTTTTTAGGCAATAGGGCAAGAAAGATCGCTAAGTTTACTACAGCATGGTGTTTTTTTGTTTTGTTTTGTTTTTTAAAAAGGAGAAGGGATGTACATTAGGTGCCAAAATTGTAACTAGTAAGAACCATGACTTGCTTCAGAAGGGTAAAACGGGCAGAAGGTGGCCAAGGCTGCTGTCAAACACCTGCAGTGCCTCAAAGCTGCCATCACCCGAATCCCTACAGGGATGACAGGCCTACGAGAAGAGGCAGGAGACTCCTCTAATAGCTAGGTGTACAGCAGAGGTGTATTTTGCTCAAGCGAGGCGAGACAGAAAGCATGGGCACCACAGCAGCTCTCTGGCCACACCGGGATGTGGCACAGCCGCCTTCTAGAGAGTGCGTCCCAGGCCCTTGACAACAGCCTTCCCAGAGCTTCCAAACTCAGTTCCAAACAGTTCATATAATACCATGCACTTCTACTGATCATACTAATTTTTTTAGCTGGAATAACAAGACAGTGTGTGATTGTAATTATTCTACGTTGTGAAAGGATTAAGGAAATTTTGTCCAGTATCTTTTCCTAGTGCACATAAGTTATTTATAAGGGCTTTATGTTTATAGCAACAAAATACCCCACCTCTTGTTAAAGACATTTCTACAGTCTATTATTTAAATAAACACATTTGTTTAGTCAGATGTATTCGATTTCTACTCTTCTTCTTAAAAAGAAAAAACACCAAACCAGTGTTAAGTATTTAGAATACAACCACTTCATTAGGAATTATTTCAGGAACAGTACAGACACTAATATTAACGTTTTAAAATACCTTTCTTTAAATAATACTTACCTAAAGTTTGGCATAATCTTCCAAACAACATAAAATAAGGACTCTGGGCTAAATGCAGTCTGGCTGCCTTGCCATAAAGCACAGAGTGTCTTTCTAAACTCTTCTACCAAAGACCTGCAAAAGAGGAAAGGACAGTGCCCTCAGCTTAGTGAGAGGCTACAATTCCAACACAGCGTCCACTCGTCTAAAACGCATCATACATACAAAATGAACACTTAAAAAGGATTTGGTCTTTTCTGAAGAAAGTCTGAAAGATAAATAAGAGCATCTCAAAAACCCATATGAGTAGCAGTAATTCTGACAAAGCTAATTTGTAACCATATGGTTAACTCTGAGTGTGCCAATGCACCGCCATATTTCTACACTCTGAGTTAAACCATGCAAGCAAACAATACAGCACTGGGTGAGTTATAGGCCAAATTACTTAAGAATGTACGTTTTCAAAATGCAAAACAAGCATTCAGCTCTCTTTCTCCCCCTCCTGCCTTGTCCTTCTTGCCACTCACTAGCACCCTCAGACCCCAGCCTGTGTCACAAACCTTCACCACTCGGCTCTCCACCAGTGACCCTCAACTCCAAAAGTCAGATTTTCTCATGACTATTTTTATGTAAACTTCTCCAGTTTCCAGCAGGAATTTTCTGCTGGAGATCCTGTCACTTTCACCTCTGTGTGCACTGACCTGCTCCAGCATCTACTGCTCTCTGTACACCCTCCTATCACCCAGTATCCACACTCTTCTTCTCGCATAGGAATAGAACTCTCAATTTTTCCTGGGCATATAAACTCTCAAAATAAAAAACTGTGTCCAAATTCTGGGAAATGTCTTAAAAAGAAGAGTAGTCCTATATTAATCCTTTCCTTCTTCCTGCTAGGAATGGGGACGGAGTTGGGGAGCCCCGGCACCATGGTGGACTATGTGGATGGTTAGGGCCTCTGGAGGCTGGTGGAACAGAAAGCCAGGAGGAGCCAGATGGCTTTGTCAAACTACCCTGGACAGACAGCCTCTGACTTTTATGTGAGGAAACAAACCATGGATGTTTAAGTCACTTAACTCTGGTTTTCTACACCTGTGGCTAAACTGATCCAACTCAACTTCAACTTCCATAGCTGTCAATATAAGCACCATATTTTTGGATACTTGATTGACATCCCAGAGAATCTCAGTATCTTCTTTCTCAACCCTCATGATCACGTGGGACCCTGGAATACAAATCATATTTTTGACTTCCTAATACTTGAACCCTCTTCCTATGTTTGAGAATCCCCACTTTAAGAGTTTGCCTCCCACTTCTAAAGCTAAACAGCCAGACACTTGCCTTCTCAGGCTCCCTTGCAGTCAGAACACAGGTACATAGCCTGTGACACAAAGAAGTGACACATAGTAACACAAAGAAGAAGGGACGGCACCAAATCCTCTCTGGTAGCAGTGGGGACAAAGAGCACCATCCGGAGTGCAGGGCAGCAGCAGGGCCGCGTCCACCAGCACCCATCTCCAGCAGTGCTGGCAACAGGAACTCTGCTGCTGCGCTGGGCACCAGAGGCAGTGGCAGCCTTGCAGGACAGTTCTGTGGGGTGACTGTGACTGCAGTGCTGCTGCCTCGGACTCCAGACCTGATTTTTCACTCACCCATTATGATTAGCTCACCAATATCCCTGCAGTAAATTCCTTTTCTGCCTAAATCAGCCAAAGGCAATTTCTGCAGTCTGAAACTCAACCCTGCATGACACGAATACATCAAGTACTACTAATTCTTCTCTTAACTCATACACATGTATTTTTTCTGCTGTTTCACTGCTGTCCCCTCTGACCTGATTACTGTAGAGTGCAAAGCCTCCTTGAAAGTAGGCACTTTCAACTCATCCTAGATGCTGCTCAACTCATCCCACATGTTGCTGTGAGGGAAACTCCCTTCAAACACCACTTGTAGTGATGTCATTCCAGCCCTGCTCCATGCCTGGCTTTCCAGTTTCCCTGCACTGTGACTCTGGCCCTGCTGCCCATCATTCTGACCTCAGCCACCAAGGCAGGACAGTGTCAAATCACAGGATGGTCCTTCAGAATGAGTGAGAATGGGAGTGTGTGGAAGTGGAGGAGCAGACAGAGAAAACATTAAATACATAAGGAGTATGAGCCACAGTCCTTCTGAAAAAAGAGCTGTAAAATTAAGACACGAAAAATGTACCCCCTACAATTGTCATAATGATAGATCTTCTGAACCACAAATAACGGAGGTCTACACCAAATGAGGATACAGGATTGGTTCTTAATGAGCACTTGTCTGTTTTTTCCCCCTCTCTATATCAACCAAAAATTGACTTTATTCCCCCACAACTAATTTGTTGACTACAAATTAATTTCAGTATCCAAGACAGGATTACCTAATACCGTGAGACAAATCAGTTCACAGGGACTAATAAGATTCATCGTTGCCTACACGTAGAACTGCATTTCACATCTAGATGCCAATTCTCCAATGCCCAAATCTGCAGTCAATAAGCAGAATGCTAAATTTATCCCTCCTGTTACGGTAAATAAAAGAATCCTAACAAGGTTTCGTGTTTTTTTTTTTTTTTTTTTTTTTGAGATGGCGTCTCGCTCTGTCACCCAGGCTGGAGTGCAGTGGCGTGATCTCGGCTTACTGCAAGCTCCGCCTCTTGGGTTAAAGCAATTCTCCCGCCTCAGCCTCCTGAGTAGCTGGGACTACAGGCACCCGCCACCACGCCCAGCTAATTTTTGTATATTTAGTAGAGATGGGGTTTCACCATGTTGACCAGGCTGGTCTTGACTGACCTCAAGTGATCCACCCACCTCAGCCTCCCAAAGTGCTGGGATTACAGGTGTGAGCCACCATGCCCAGCCAGAATTCCAACAATTATTAAGATTGCCAGCTACTTAAACACAATTTTCAGAAGATTTTTTTTTAAGGCATGTGCCTGTTAGCTCACATAATATAATGGAAACCACCAGTGAGAGTAATTTGTTTTGTAACTCAAAGCCAAAAGGACATATTCTTGCAACTCACACATTGTTATCCCCTTGGCTCCTGGTGTGGTATGTCCGCCTTCCTGCTGTTTTCCCATTCCTTAACTCCACAGCGGGCAGTTCTTTGAAATAACAGCAAAACTGCTCAATGTTACTATTTTAAAAGGAAGGGAAAAATATTGTAAAAAGAAAAGAATAGGATTGTAAAGTTGATGAAGCCTACATATACATTTTGAAACTGCAATTTTTCAATTGTCTCATTTAAATTGTATTCAATGCAATCTCTTGCATTCAGTTTCTTCATTATGATTCTTCCTTCTAAGAAAATAGTATAGACAGATGACTTTGTAAAAAACAAAAACAAAAAAGAACTGAAAACAAAATCCCTTTTCAAAAAAATCCCCAATTTTCCCTCCAGTTATAGGTAGTCACCATTTCTTTCTTTACAGTTGCTTGTTTCCAGGTATTCAGTAATTTCCTCAAATAAAAACAAACCATGAAACTGACCATATTATTTTGATACACTGTACAGAATCATAAGGAGAATTCGGTAGTAACTATAATTTCCTCTTTGAGCAAGAAGAGGTAAGCTGAGAGGCAGTGCCTTCCAGGAGAGATCAAACATGCCTTCTGCTTCTTATCAGCAGTGTCACCTTGGGAAGGTCATTTATTCTGGCCTTTGATGTCTCATTAAAATCTAAAAGTATGCAACTTTCAAAATAATTTATTTTACAAAACTTAGATCAGCCTTGTTGACTATTTTATTTTTACTACTTGTTTCATATTTTGAAGACATCTCATCTTATGACCTTGATTAACCCATTTATGCCTAGTGTTCCATTATTGGAATGCTAAGTTTCTGGGAGTTATTTATATCTTACTGCTCAAGGTCATCGCCAAGGTCTGGTTTTTCATACAAAAAAAATTGCAACCTCTGGCATAAATGGGTTAAGACTCAACTAATGACTGAAATAAGCTCTTTGAACAAGGTTCTCTGTAATCCAGGTCTGCAAACTGTGGCCCACAGGCCAAATCTAGCCCTCCACCACGCAGCTCTTAAAGCGAGTTTTACATTTTTAAAGTGTTGTTTTATTTAATTAATTAATTAATTTATTTATTTTGGAGGCAGAGTCTCACTTTGTCACCCAGGCTAGAGTGTAGTGGCACCATCTTGGCTCACTGCAACCTCCACCTCCTGGGTTCAATCGATTCTCCTGCCTCAGCCTCCCAAGTAGCTGGGCCTAGAGGCACACGCCACCACGCCCAGCTAATTTTTGTATTTTCAGTAGAGACGGGGTTTCACTATGTAGGCCAGGCTGGTCTAGAACTCCTGACTTCAGGTGATCTGCCCGCCTCAGCCTCCAAAAGTGCTGGGATTACAGGCATGAGCCACTGCATCCGGCCCTAAAGTGTTGTTTTAATAAAGGGCAGGGTGGTGGGGGAATATGTGAGAGAGACTGTAGCCTGAAATACTAAAATGTTTATTATCAGGCCTTTCACAGAAAAAGTTTGCTGACCTCAGTTCCAGCCTATTCAAGAAGCAACCGGAAATAACCGCAAACAACTATTCACTGCCGGACACTGCTGTAAGTACGTTAGACAAATTACATTATTTAATCTTCCCAACTACTCCATGAGGTAAGAACTACTGTCCCCACTTTTACTGATGAGGAAACGAAGGCACAGGAAATTAAGGTATCTTGCTCCAAACCGTATGACTAGAGTTAGTGGTAGACAAGATAGGAAGCCAGAGCCGTTGCTCTTAACCTTTAATGTCAGACGCTTAAGCTCTGACTGCAGCGTTACCTGAGTGACTGAAGGATGGCGTTCATGAAACACGTGTTCCCCAAATTCCGAAGGCCTGTGGCACAAATGGCAGTGGTGCTTCCCTGTAAGTGGTGCAAGAAGAGGCCATCAGTAATGCCAAGGAAAGGCCAACTGTTTCAAACATCAAAGCTAAGTCAAGGCCTCTGAAACTCTAGCACCAAGCCAATTTGGAATTGGTCCTCTTCTGTCCAATGAATATTTGAAACAAACTAGTCTCTGTATAAATGTCTGGATATTTTTAGAAGGCTGTTTCTGATCCTGGGGTTGCTCTAAATGGAAGTATTTTATTGAAAGCTTATGAGGAAATCACCATTAATGAGTACCATGGAGCACACAATGCAAAAAACAGGAAATCCTTAAAATAACACTTAAGACTTAGTGCCTTTTTAAGATTCTATAAAAACTAAGAAAAATGGAAAAATATAAATATATATGCCCCAAGTATTTTTGTCGCAAACTTTTAACTCTAAGCCATATATAAATGACCAATATGCATTTTCCTAACAATGGGATATTAATCTTAAAAAGCTGCCTAAGGCCAGGCACCTCACCCCTGTGATCCCATCACTTTGGGAGGCTGAGGTGGGCGGATCACCTGAGGTCAGAAGTTCAAGACCGGCCTGGCCAACATGGGGAAACTCTGTCTCTACTAAAAATACAAAAAGGCCGGTGTGGTGGCTCATGCCTGTAATCCTAGCACTGTGGGAGGCTGAGGTGGGTGGTCTGCCTGAGCTCAGGAGTTCAAGACCAGCCTGGGCAACACGGTGAAACTCTGTCTCTACTAAAACAGAAAAAATTAGACGGGCGTGGCATGCACCCATAATCCCAGCTACTCGGATGGTTGAGGCAGGAGAATTGCTTGAACCCAGGAGGCTGAGGTTGCAATGAGCCAAGATCATGCCACTGCACTCCAGCCTGGGTGACAAGAGTGAGACTCTGTCTCAAAAAAGAATATATAAAAATAAAAATACAAAAATTAGCCAGGCGCGGTGGTGTGCACCTGTAGTCCCACCTACTTGGGAGGCAGAGGCTGTGGCAGGAGAATCACTTGAACCTGGGAGGCGGAGGTTCCGGTGAGCCCAGAATGCGCCACTGTACTCCAGCCTGGGCTAAAGAGCAGGATTCCATCTCAAAAAAAGGAAAAGCTGCCTGAACCTAAAGACTTAGTCTTAAAAATGAAGGCTGGGTTTCCTGATGAGTAAGGAGTGTGAGCAGATATTAAGAATGAACTGTTTTCTAGGGCAGAGGAGCACAGCAGTAATGCTGATGGGAAGAAGGTGCTGACAGATGGACTCACTGGGGTCACAGCAATAATCGACAGTACAAGTGGCAAACATTGTGTAAAATACTCCAAATCCAAGACACACATTTATAAGAAAGTCTGTAACAGGTAACTTTACATGTTAGAGTTGTAACAAAACAGTGATTAAATCTCAACTAACTCTTATATTTAAATAAATTTTAATTACTTACATTTACTTTTAATAACTTGCTGTTTAGTGTTGAGTTTTCCAAAAGTTTTCTTTTCCTATGCCTATCAGCTGTGAAAGCTGAGCTATTAAAACACAAACAGATAGTGAAAAAGTTATTAATATATGCATGCTACACCACAGGTCAAAGAATAAACTCCAGCTGCCCTCAAGACCTAGGGCAGGGAGACCTCCTTGACTGCTTCGTCAGGCCCACTGGGGCCCACACGTACTTGAAGTTAACTGAGGAACTCTACTTCCTTGGAAATCCCCACTGCTCCTCCAGCAGAGGTGGGCCAGACACCGCTCCTCCAGCAGAGGTGTCAGCGAAAGTGGGCCAGACACCGCTCCTCAGCAGAGGTGGGCTCCTCCAGCAGAGGTGGGCCAGACACCGCTCCTCCAGCAGAGGTGGGTTGGACGCTGCTCCTGGCAAAGCTGGCCAGAAGATGCAGCCCGTGGGACACTCCCCACCACCACTCTCACTGTCTGACCCACTGCGAAGCTTCACAGAGCAGAAGGCTCATTCCTCACAACAAAAGGAAAACCCTGGTCTGACACGACTGTTCTGAAATTTAACAGTAAGTCTCCACATGCTATTTCTTTCTTAATTTCGATATAAAGATGTCATGTTTTGCTCATTTGTCTTAATAGATGAGGATATGATCTGAGTTTGAGGAATGATAAATAAGTTACAGGAATATAGGCACATGTACATTCATTAGATGCAGCTACGCGCCAAAGGACATTCCAAAACACATCCTTATCAGTGCAGAAATTCTGAATTAAAATCACTCAAAATTTTTCTTGATGTAAGAAATATTTTGCTTAAAATTTATCAGAAAGTTATTTCTATTTTCAAAAGGTCACTTTAAAATTTTTGTATCTCAGGCAAATTAATCTAAAGGAAGTAAAAATTATGGTTAAACAACAGACTTTTAAGGCCGCCAATTCTTTCCCACCTTCTAAAAGTACCAAGTTAATCCAAAGTAAATACATAATTATTTTTTCTTACAGAACTTCCACATGAATTATGTCTTTGAAACATGAGAACTAGTGACAGTTGCTTCAAACCTCAAAATATTCTTCAGAACTGTATGTCTCTCTCTCACAGTACTGATAACTGCAAGATGAAGAGACCAATTCCATATGCTATAGTGTTCAATTATTCCTTCACAAATTCTGTGAAGTGGGGAAGGTAAACCACAAGCATAGTATATATGCTCTTTATGACAATGCCTAAGAGTTCATTTTCAGTTGTAACCTATATCAATAAGGCATTTCACCTTTTAAAAATGTAAGTTACTATATTTTATCCTCAATGACTCTCAAAATGCAGAATCTTCTAGATCCATGCTATCTAATATAGTAGCCACTCACTCCAGGTGGCTATTTAAATTAATTAAACTTGAAGTTTAAAATTCAGTGTCTGAGTTGCACTAGCCACTTTCCACGTATGGCTAGTATTACCATATTAGAGTGGATAGAGAACACTTCTGTGGCTGCAGAAAGTTCTGCTGGACAGTGCTGCTCCATGGGGCATGTGGAATAGTCAAAAGTTAAGTAAAACACAAATATGATCGTAGTTTCTAAATTCCACTACAGATTAAACCAATGTTTGCAAAACACTAAAATGAATCTAGGTAATGTTTTTCAACATAGGAAATGGACTGTAAGGTAGACTTTTCACTGGGGCCAAGCAGACGTGTAGACAGGTGGTCTGTGCCACCTTTCATCTGATGAAGTGGTCAATGGAAATAAAAGATTTCCTAACTATATAAATGCATGCAGGTTCCCAAATGCTCTCTTTTCCCTTTGATTTAGTTCTGATTAATTTATTTCAGACTGAGAGGGTAGTCTTTACCTAGAGAAAACCGTAAAAAATATTCTGGTAGCCACCCACTTCTATAACAAATAATCAAGTTACTAAGACCTTTACAATGACATCACCACACCAAAGAGTGATACTATACATACATTCCTTCAGGAATCTCAGACTTCATGTTTATTGTGAACAATTTCAGAGAAAATTAAATATTTTGGATCTGTGTGTATCTGTCTCTAATCCTAGATAGGGCTCATCAAATTAGAAGAGAAGCACTCTGAAAAAGAGCCAAAAGACGACAAACCAAAAAGTACTTAAACCTGAAGTACTTTAATTGGTTTAAAGAAATCATTATTCTTCCAGTATCGGCTTTATAATCTAGTTAGTCAATGAGACATACATGTCTGGTTTTAACAAACACTACGAAGTATTGCCCTCAAAGAAGTTAGGTTATTTCCTTTCAGTATGCAATTTTGAAACATTCTATGGGCTTTACACTTAAGTTTGCTAAGGCATTCCTGCTTTGTGCATGTTTTCACAATAACTTCTACACACCAACTGCCAAAATAAATTAGATGGCACTTAATGATTTGGTGTGATGTACACAGATTTCACTTGAGTCAGCAGTCATTCCACAGCCATGCTTCTATGCACTGTAGCTTCAAAGGCATGGCTAGCTGGGTTTCTGTTTATTGCTTCAATCTTGGGTCCAGTGAGTTTTCTCTAACTAAGCTATTTGACTATACCAAGAAAAGTCTGTTCACACATAAATAGTTTCATTTCTTTATGATGACAAAGTATTCATAGCTCCTTGTTAATGTCAAGTGATATTTAACTGCCCCTAACAAGCAAGGAAAAGAAACTAGGATCCTGTGCTATTGCATAGATGCAAAGTGGACAATATGTTCATTAAACCTAATTTCCCTTAAAAATGACGCATAAATCATAGTGCTTCCTAGTAGACCTCACAATATATTTGACAAGGGTTTTCTATTATCAAAAGTAACTCTATGATGATTTCACACCTTTTTCTGCCCTTTCCTTGTACCCTCAAAATTCCCCTTGCAAATAAATTGAGTAGCTTATAAATTGTTGGGTAATAATTTTAAAACCGGTTCTTAGGACCTTAGATGTTTTATGACAAATATTAAATAAAATAAATGCAGAGCTATGACCACTAACTATGGGCCAAGTTTTAGATATCCAAAGCCAAGGTTTATTTTATCAACATTTCAATCATATTATAAACATGAAGTTATAAAACTCATTGACAAAAACCCCACTCAAAAATTCTAAAAAATACTTCAACCCCATTCTTAGACCCTTCTTTTTCCAAAGGCCTATTACTTACTTTTCCAAGTTCTGTAAGTGTTCTCTGACTTTCTGTACCAGTCCCAGCTTGGTGTCATTGACCACAAAATCATCACAGCGATAACTGCAAGGAAAATATTAATCAATGTGTGTAAAGAGCTTGAGGAAACCACAGTAATGAAATCACTAAAAGGCCTGGCTGCTGCCAAGATGATCACATGGCTCTGCAGGCAGTTACTGCTGGTGGTAAGTTTAAAGAGGACCTGGAATTCACAATGGAATGTTTTTCAAGAGTCTTTTTAAAAGCCACGTAGGCAATGAACATGAGCTTCTTTTCACGTTTTTTACTCAAAAGCTCTTCAATTCCTCCTTTGAAAATGAAATAAGCTGCTACACGTGTTACATTCTTTTTAGTGGTGCCTAATACATGGAAAATGAAATAAAAAGGACCGAGTCTTTTCATGTAGCATTAAGGCTAAAGCTTTAAGGTAACACTTCCCAACCCAAATTAATGGGGAATTGGGGGAGGAGAGATTTAAGTGAAAAGCAGGGAAAAGGTAATTAGCCTGTAGGGATATCTGAATAGAAAAACTAAAGTTAAAGCTGCACATTTTAAACAGAATTTAATTAAAAGAGATTGAATTCAGATGAGTTGAGAAGAATGATCTTTCATTCTGAGGCACTACAAAAGTATAAAACAGTGGCTATATCATTCAGGCAATTGATAAGTGCTTTGAAGAAAAATATTTAAGCTATTTTTAAAAACCAACACTCTGTGTGTTTTACAAGACAATAAGCAAATAATGTAACAAATCACACATAATATAAACTTTAACTTGTACACATTAGCATTTAATTTTTTCCTGGGATAAGGCCAATTTTAACAAAAACAACTGACAAGCTGGCACTAAGATATTCTTTTGAATATGCAGCTTTGCATGAAACCACTTGTTATTACTACCAAAGAATAATAAAAATAACCCTGCCATTCTCAGCAAACAAAACTTTGAAAGCACAGCAATTAGTAAAAATTAGGTCATCTCTAGCAGAATCCCAAAAACATCTTATATCTGAAAACCATTTTATTAAAAAGAGAAAGAAACAGAGAGAAAGAGGTGGGAAAAAGTAATTTTAAAAGATTACACAAAAAAGCAGGCTTGTGTCTTTTACTCAGAGAAATGAAAATTTTAAGTGGATGCTTTGAAAACTGTCACTACAATGTTATATATGTAATTATTTAACACATACTCTCATTAACTGACCACCCAGGCAGTCAATCAAGATTTCTCTAACATATTCTGAGTGTGTAAAGTCAGTTCCCAACAATTCCACAAACAGCAAAAGCAGTCTTTTATATCCTGGACCATTTTCTATTATCAAAGTACTACCAGCAGGAGAAAAAATTCTTCACTGGTCTTATAACCACCACATAAAGAAATTAAATTAGTGCAAAGTTTTAATTTTTTGCTCCCTCTCAGCACAAATATTAAGAGGATAAGTAAGATCTACTTTGTCTGTAAATTTGGGCTTAAGGCATTTGGTACCTCTATAAACCTTTAAGCATTCACTGAAGAATGAAATTGTATCGTTACTCTACTCGAATTTCTGCTTACATTTTCATTTTATGTTTGTATAAATTTATGCATGTAGTTTGAATAAAACAATACTCAGTGTTCAAAACTCGAAATGCTAGCATTTATCTGGAAAGTGAAGTCTAAGAGCAAACTCAGATAGCTTTTTATGTATTTATAGGATGCCATTAATATCTAATTGAAAACTGAACCTCTAACTGCCACAAATAAGTGGTTGTTTAAACAAATAAATTATTTCAAAGTAAATTAAATAACTGATTTATTTCTTTAAATTAAAGTAATCCTTTTTGGTATAACATGAAGTCAGCCTTGGATATAAAATTACATTTGTTAAAGTACAGACTCATTTACGGACTTGCTTTGTTCCTCCAGGACAACTGGGTCCAGTTGCTTTGCCTCTCTACCCTTTCATCACCAAAGTAAGCTGATCTATACTCTAGAGCTGTGCAAATGTGGCTATGGCAACTGAGGAATACAATTTTAAGTTTTAAAACTTTTAATTAATATAAAGTCTTAACTGAAGCAGTGTAAAATCTTTTACAATTAAGCACAATGTTATAGTTTGGTAGAACTGTATTCTGCTTTTATTATTAAATTGTGCAAGATACATGGCAGTGCACAATTGGGTAAATGTGTCATTTCTAGCATTACACAAAAGCATATCACCAATCCAGAACTGATAGAATGAGTCAGTTCAAATGATTTTTCTATGCAACAATGTAGCACTGTAATGGGTTTATTTGAACATTTTATGCAGATACCATAAGTTACAGTGACACTTATGTAAATCATAATTGGCAATTAAATTAAAATACTTATTTTAATTATTTTATAATTAAATTATTTTTCTAGCTTAAAAATAGAAAAATTTTTACTTTCAAGTGAAGGTATACTACTGAGGTAGAATCAAATGAAAAGAAAACAGACTCAACAAGGTATGTCACAAATTTTACAAAGAATGGCAATTGCAATTTGCTGCAGCAGAGCAAAATTAAAAAGCTGCTGTGTAAAAAAAAGTTTTAAGATAACAGAACAGTTAAGAGACATTTTCAGCAAATGCATTTCAATTTGATACAAAATGGCTTCAGTTAAAAAATAATCAACAAAATTAGTCACAATCAGTGAAATCAGAATTAAATGTAAAACAAAAAAATTCCTGAAGATTTTACAGAACTTGAGCTTGTAAGCGGCTAGCTATAAAACAGCTTGGGTTCTTTTTTCTTTATTTTTTAAAAATACAGCTGGGGTATCCTGTTTCCCAGGCTGGTCTCAAACTCCTGGCCTCAAGTGATCCTCCCACCTCAGCCTCCCACAGTGTTGGGATTACAGGTGTGAGCCACCGCGCCTGACTAGTTCAGATTCTTGTTCAATGTAGAAAACAATTTTAAGATGGTGAGATGAAAAATTAAATTATTTCAGTTAAGGAAATTGTATTTTTAAATTATGAGGAAAAAAACTAAAAAGATATTTTACAGAAAGTGAAAAATCTTTGAGACATCAAGCAACTATCAGTGAATAAAAAGGCCCTTCTAACAATACTAAAGATCAATTAAGTCAGCATTTGAAAAGTTACAAGTATTTTTAGCTTTAGATGAATTTTAGAAGAGATAATGCCCAATTAATACTATAGGTATATCTGTCTCAAATGACCTACAAATTTACAGAGAAATGTCTTCATCTATTTGCAATCTTAAATTTAAAAACTGATCTTATGTTGTAAATATTTTTGAATTCTCTACATGTGTAACTTTCAGCTAGATATTAAAAAGTCAGTTTCCAGCAACACAATGTTCAAACATCTGTATTTGCTGGATTTATTTCTCTGATTACTTTGTTCTGCTGTGTGAAACACAATGCAAATATTTGTGCCCTGAGGCAGACTGTATCATGGAGGCAGCTATTAAAATTGTTCAGACTGGGCATGGTGGCTTATGCCTGTAATCCCAACACTTTGGGAGGCCGAGCCGGGTGGATCACAAGGTCAAGAGATCAAGACCATTCTGGCCAATATGGTGAAACCCCATCTCTTCTAAAAATACAAAAATTAGCGAGGCATGGTGGCACATGCCTGTAGTTCCAGCTACTCAGGAGTCTGAGGCAGGAGAATGGCTTGAACCCGGGAGGCGGAGGTTGCAGCGAGCTGAGATCGCGCCACTGCACTCCAGTGCACTCCAGTCTGGCGAAAGGGCTAGACTCTGCCTCAAAAAGACCCCAAAATTGTTCAGTACATATGCACAAATGCTCTAAATCATCACCAGTTTATAGAACTGTTAAAATAAATAGAAGACAATGAATTTAATGACCACATTATTAGCTACTGTTGGTTGCTTGAGTCAAGGAAGAGTTTTGCAAAGATTTACAATTCTGGTAACTCTAATTCAGATTTTCTTGAAACAAAAGAAATGCTTGCCAATATTCAACAATCAAAGAGTAAACCAGAAATAGATTTTTAGAAATCTCAGCGTGATTTACACTGTTACCCCTATATCACAATGCGTATCAATTAGCTAGATTTGAAGACCTGAGGAGAGAAAAAGCTTATTTATGACCTAGCTAGACAAGTACAAGAATTTATGTTAAAACTGAAGCTTTTTATAATACAAATCAATGATTGTACACATTTTTCAACATGAATTAACATGCAGCAGCACAGCACTGTGTAAAGTGGCTGCAAAACCTATGAAAAAAAAATACAACAAATGCTTTGTTGATATGGATAAACTTAGTTGATTTTCAATTTATATGATGCCCCTTTGAATTTCATGTTGATAATAATAAGTTTTTACAAGTGTTAGTGGACTTACTTAACCTGCATGGGTATTTTGACAGTGCTGAACTTCTGAGTCAAATCAATTATTCTGAAGAGTAATTTTTGTCAATACAGATACAAATATTGGAGAAAAATGATTTGTTTGGTACTCGATTTATTGGAAAACAATGTTTGAAACAGTGTGAATCTACTTTTTTAACTGCAATTTTTATGAATCTAAATACAGATCAAATTTTTTAATGAAAATTTCACGAGTTGAGATGTACTTAAAATGTAAAATACACAATGGATTTCAAGGATTTCATATAAAAAAGTGCAAACTATCTCTAATAATTTTATATTGATTACATGTTGACACAGTATTTCTGATATACTAGGTTAAAAAACATACAATCAAAAATAATTTCACCTGTTTCTTTTTGCTTTTTTAATATGGTTACTAAAAAATTCAAAATTACATATGTGACTTGCATTAGTTCTCTTTTATATAGCACTGCTAATGTAGGGAATCTAAGATACTACCTGCCCCAAAATTCTACAATACTAGCATAAAGATAAGAAATTAACTTTATTGAACTATAAGAACTCAATTTTATAGTCGGGCATGGTGGCATGTGCCTGTAATCCCAGCTACTCAGGAGGTTGAGGCATGAGAATTGCCTGAACCCGGGAGACAGAGGTTGCAGTGAGCAGAGATCATGCTACCACACTGGACAACAGAGTCAGACGTCAGACTCGTCTCAAAAAAGGAAAGGAAGAAAA